CTTTGTTGAATCAAATACTACTACACTATTACACTTCCACACTATTTATTTGGGGATGGGCTGGGAGTGACAGTAGCCTACTATTTCAGCTACCTGATTATTGCCCCATTCTTTCAGAAGCACACTTCTGCCAAGGAGTGGTTTGTACTGCTGTGTTTGGTACATTTAGTCTTTTTTCTGCTATAAGTTTTCCTTACCTGTCCTTTAGTGTATATTTTATTCATCACAGGACAGAATAACCAAGGACAACCAAAATCCTTTTGTTAGTTTCAGTACCTCAACTATCAACATTTCTGGGCTATCATTCAATATTCCTCTGTGTCATGGAGTGAAATTCTTGTTTTATAGGTATTGGGAGTGTGGGAATGTGATAACCTAAACAACCTTTGCTCTGAAATTCAATTTTTCCCTCTTTCCCTGAATTGTATTAACCCACAGAGTTAATTTCCTTTGTATTTTTTAAAGAAAATATTAAAAATCAACAGTCTCAAAAAAAAAAGATTTTCTTTTTTTTCCTAGAAGTTTTATGGTTTTACATTTAACTCCATAAGCCATTTTGAATTAATTTTGGTGTATGGTATGGGACTTGGGTTGATGTCCATTTTTTTGCCGATGGATATCTAATTGCTCCAACACTATTTGCTGAAAGATATCTTTCCTCCACTCTATTGCTTCTGCACCTTTGTCCAAAATCATGTGTAACACAACTGGGCATGTTTACCCGGGTCTGTGGGTTTTCCATTCTGTTTCACTGATCTATGTGTCTAACACTCTATCCACACCACGGCTTTGATTACTGTAGCTATGTAGTAATCTTGAAATTGGGCAGATTCCTCCCATTTTATTGTTCTTTTTCAAAATTATTTGAGCTATTCTAGTTCCTTTGCCTTTATATATAAATTTCAGAATAATCTCATTTACATCTACTGTCACAAGTAAAATCAAATCAAAATTTAAAAATTACTTATTTTAAAATTTATTTTATTATTATTTTTTGAGACAGAGTCTCACTCTGTCACCCAAGCTGGAGTGCAGTGGCACAAACTTGGCTCATTGCAACCTCTGCCTCCTGGCTTCAAGCGATTCTTGTGCCTCAGCCTCCCGCGTAGCTGGGATTACAGGTGTGTGGCACCACACCCAGCTAATATTTGTATTTTTAGTAGAGACGGGGTTTCACCATGTTGGTGAGGCTGGTCTTGAACTCCTGACCTCAAGTGATACACCATCCTCGGCCTTCCAAAGTGCCAGGATTACAGACATGAGCCACTGCACCCGGCAATAAAAAAAAATTTTAGGCTGGGTGTAATGGCTCACTTCTCTAATCCCTGCACTTCGGCCGAGGCAGGCAGATCACTTGAGACCAGGGGTTCAAGAACAGCCTGGGCTATAAATATGGTGAAACCCTCATGATACTAAAAATATAAATACTAGCTGGGCATGGTGGTGCTCACCTGTAATCCCAGCTACTCAGGAGGCTGAGGCAGGAGACTCACTTGAACCAGTGAGGCAGAGGTTGCAGTGAGCCAGGGTCATGCCACTTCACTCCAGCCTGGGTGACAGAGTGAGACTCTGTCTCAAAAAATAAACAAATAGAAATATTTTAAAAAGCTTTATTGTGCCTGTAAAAGATTTCATGAACCAAGAAACCCCAAACTGGAAGTGGTATGAAGCCCCAATTCACAGCAGTTACAGCACAGTTTATAAAGCATGAATGAGGAAGTATATTGTTCCCTACTGTGCATAAGCTTTCTTTGTAATGCTATCACACTGAGGGAGGACAGCTTAACTTTCAGTTACATGGCTAGAGGCAGTTGGCCTAGGGGCATATCCAAACCTCAGCTTCCATTTTCATTTTCCCTTAATAGTACAAAAAACATTCCTGAAGTTTTGATAGAAATACTAGTATTCCTGTATTAATACTATACCAATATAAGGAATACTATATTAATATATGTATTATTAATTGGGTTGGGAAAGAACTGACATTCTTACTATTTGACTCTTCCAATCCATGGACTTGGTATGTCTCTCCATCTATTCACATCTTTTATTTCTTTCATCGGTTTTTTGTAATATTCAGTGTACCAATCCTGTGAGGTTTTTTGTTTGTTTTCAGACAGAGTCTTGCTCTGTTGCCCAGGCTGGAATGCAGTGGTGTGATCTCGGCTCACTGCAACCTTTGCCTCCCGGGTTCACGCCATTCTCCTGCTTCAACCTCCAGAGTAGCTGGGACTACAGGCGCCCGCCACCACGCCCAGCTAATTTTTATATTTTTAATAGAGATGGGGTTTCACCATGTTGGCCAGGCTGGTCTTTAACTCCTGACCTCAGGTGATCTGCCCGCCTGGGCCTCCCAAAGTGCTGAGATTACAGGCGTGAGCCACCGTGCCCTGCCAACATGACCTATCCTTTTTCATTCCCCAACATCTGATCCATCAGCAAGCCTGATCAGTTTACCTCCACACTACACTCTGAACCCTCCCATCTCCCTCCAGCTCCACAGCTGTGTGTCAGCACAGGTTACTGCTGCCTTCAACCCAGACCACGCGATGACCCAGGGCCAGCCTCACTTGCTCTGCTCTTGATCCTTGGGCTTTCTTTTCCTACAAGCATGCCCCATGTTTCTTCCTCTGCTCAGGAAAAGCTGTAAGCCCATCTCCTGCCCTGGAAGGTCCTTCTGTTAGACTAGGCAGATGGTTAGATATGAGCAGGGAAGTGGATTCCAGGTCGGCCTCAGCCCCTAGCATGCCCGGAAGGGACTATGACCTCTGAGACATGTTAACCACACCTGGGGTTTCAAAAGCCCCAACCCCTCTTTCAATTGAGCTTATCCAGCTCAAATAGGAACTAACCCCACAAGGGACTTTCCACCCCAAGGAGCCTGTGTTGTATATTTTGCCCCAGTTTTGCTTGCTTCGAAAGTAACTTTTGCTCATTGTAACGGTAAAAAACACACCTCCTCAGTGAAGATTTAAGATGCTAATGAGACATGCGATAAATGCACTAGCATGTAGAGCCACAGTGCATGCGCTGCTAGACCACCCAAACAAAACATGCTTATGAGTAACACCTCTTCCCGCCCATTTATGCATAATCATTAAACCTCCCGTAAGGGAGGTTTCCCAGTGCCAGTTGGGGCAATCTTATTCTGGAGCAGCGTGCTCTGCCTCAGCCTTCAGAATGTACTCTTGCTTTTGCAATAAACTGCCTTACACTTATCTTTGTTAATGCATGTCTCTTGCTTAAAGTCTTTTAACCAAAAAGATAAGAACTGAGGACACATTCCCAGTAACATTTCCTCCCCTGTAAATGGTAGGTCTAATTGACATCTCCTCAGGTGGACATTCCCCAAAAAGTCCCTCTAGATTCATCCTACCAGAGCCCCCTCCCTGGAAATGCTTCAGTTCAGCCCCCTCTTCATTTCACTTACCATAATTGTAACCACTTTATTGATTTGTTTGCTGGTTAAGAGTGGTTTCTCCTACAAGGCTGTAAACACCATGGAGTGGGGAGTCTTTCTCATTTCTTGTCACCACTGGATTCCCAGGACTTGGTACTTGGTGCTTAGTAGTTGCGGAATGAATGCATGCATGAAAGAAGGAACACCGGCAGCCAGGACGCAGCTAGTTGAAAGCCAAGGCTGCCCCTCTGTGGCCAAGCTGGAGAACTGCTGCTTCCCCAGCTGCCGCAGACAAAGAAATTGCTAAGCCCCTCCCACAACACCCACCTAGGAGGCTTCCCCCATCACCCTTCCTGGAACAGAACCCAAGAGCCCTTCTTGTCCGCTTGGTCTCAAGGACTTCCTGATCTTCTCCATGCAAAATCTGCTCCTTTCCCCAGGATGGGGGTAGGGAGTGTCCTTCCAAAGAGGCTTCCTTCTCCCCAAAGAAGCTGAGAGCAAGGAGCAGGTCACAGCTTGCAGCTCACAGCTGCCCAAGAGACAGAAATCTGTGTGGGCTATGTGAATGACCTGGATAAAGAGCTGGATCCATTGAGGAGACACTAGCCCTCACTCCCTGAAGTCAAAGTCTAAGTCCCTGGGGGGATTGGGGGTCATGAGAGATACTGGAAAGAGGCTTACAAAGGCCAGAGCTCTTGCTAAACTCCCTGAGGCAGTGCAGGTAGAACCTGCCCTCCATACCATCATCTGCCTCTTGGGAATCCCCAAAGGTGTACCTGGCCCATAGCAGGTGCTCCACAAATGCTATGCCAGTACTAGCAGGGTGCATATCCTGTTCTCGGAAGCTGAGACCCAGGAAATAGGGGGCCAGCAAGGCCTGTTCCTTCCCTGGGATCCCATGTCTGGTTGTTACACCAGGACTGAGTACCCCAAAGCCATAATATAAAAAAGAGGCACCTCCCTAAAACATCACTTTTCCACAATGAACATAATTTTAAACATCTTCAAATTGGAATAAAAGTATTATATAGGATGCACATGATTTTGTTTTCTTTTCAAGTTGTCCCAATATTCAAACATAGGATTTAATATAAAAAACAAAACCTTCGAGTGTTTCTTGGCTCTGGAAGGCCCCACCCTTCAGGGGACCTAGAGGGAAGAGGTCTGAGGATAGGCCAGTGAGCTGGGCTACTGAGGGCCCTCACCTCTCTCAGGGCCCCTTCCTGTTTAACATCTCTGGAAGTGTCCCAGCTCATCTCAGCTGCACAAAGAGCAAATGTTCTATCCACATTTGAACTACAAGGTTAAAGCAGCTTGCCAGGGCCAAGGTGGTGTGACAAGGTCTCAGCATGTGAGACTCACAAGTGGGGTGCAATTCTGAGCAATGGGGTCTGGATCCTTGATGAGCCTCCCCAGGTGGGCTGGCTGAACCTCATGGGGCCTTATCAATGCATTCAATGCAGGGTCTCTGGAGAAGCATGGATTCTGCTCACTAAGCCTGTTTCCCTGACCTGGGACAGGTCTTAACACCTGGGCCTCTCACTCTTTGCACATCCTGGGGAAGGAAATTAGGCAGGAGAAGGCCCCTCTTCTTCCTTACCTCCCTCTTGAGTGGAGCCACATATGCCCAGCAGTTGGTGGCAGGGTCGTAGCGCTCCACAGCATTCAGGTCGTTGTGGTAGTCACGGCCCGCCACAGCGTAGATGTACCTGCCTACAACACACACGGACAGGTCGGCGTGCTCCTGCTGCAGGGACTGGATCTGGAACCAGCGGTTGTGCCGTGGGTCATACCTGTGCCAAGATATGAGGAAAGCACAGCACTGACTAGGCAGGGAGGCTGCCCCGCAGGCTTGCACCTCTTGTTCTGGTCCCATTTCTGCTTTGCCTCGGCCCAGCCTGAACCCTCCCCAACTGCCCCACATACCAGTGCACACCGATCTACAGCCAGGCCTGCAGGCTGTTACACACCTGAGCACAGGTGCTTCCCCAAACACAGAATGGAAGGAGTGGCCAGGAGCCTTCTGTGTTTCCACCTAACTGTCCACCTGGGCTGTCCAATGGCTTTTTTTTTTTTTTTTTTTTTTTTTTGTGAGACTGGGTCTCTCTGTCCCCTAGGCTGAAGTGGAAGTGGAAGTGCAGTGGCACAATCATGGCTCACTGTAGCCTCGACCTCCTGGGCTTAAGTGATCCTACCACCTCAGTCTCCCGAGTAGCTGGGACTAGAGGTATGCACCACTACGTCAACTATTTTTTTTTTTTGATAGAGACAAGATCTTGACACCTGTGACATATATTGTCCAGGCTGGTCTCAAACTCCTGGACTCAGGCAATCCTCCTGCCTCAGCTTCAATGGCTGTACAGCCACTTCCATCTCACTTACCTCATCTCACCGTCCACATAGCCTTGCTCCCACTCAGGAGGGCCTCCAAATACAGCCTCTCCACTGGATGGGTGCATCAGCCCCCTCACTGGCCTCCCGGCCTTGAACTTCCCCCAGCACTCCATCAGGAGTGGTCTGCTCAGGCACACCCTGCACACAGCACCCATCATACCCTCAAGCTTTGTCAACAGCAGCACACAAGGCTCTAGTCATCGTACTTTCACCTCCTCCCACCATGCTGCCAGCCCCGAGTTTCCTGACCTCCCCTCCACTCAAGGCCTCCCTCTCTGGGAAACTGGAAAGGGTTAACTCCCACCCTGGACTGCAGGCTCTGTAAGGGCAGGGTGTGTGAGATTCCAGGGACCCCCATGGGAGAAAAGGCACTGGACTCGCTGCAGCAGGCCCATGAGGGTAGAGGAGTCTGGCTAGGACCCAAGGGGGGCTCCTGGGCTGAGCACCAACAGGGAGCATGGCCTGCAGTGTGGAGCAGAGATGATCATAGAGCCATGAGGGGCCAGGACCCAGTGAGCTCAAAGCCAGTGTCTGAAGCCTCCTTGCCCAACAGCCCACAGATAGTTACAGCCTCTTTCATACAAGTGTTTTTATTTCTTCAGAGGAAGACTTATTCCAAAGAGAACAAGTCTAACTTCAACTGGCTCACAAGACAGTAACCAAAATTTTCTTTGGCCTGTGCCCTATGCTGGTCAGTGAAAAGATCAGTTTCATCCTTTGCTCCAAAGCACAAGTTAGCTGTGCTCTGCTGCTGCTTCCTCCAGCCCCTGCAGCGTGGTCAGCCCCTCCCTGCCTACCAGGAATGCAGCAAACAAGAGCCTCAGGAGGCAGGGCCAACAGGAGAGGGAACACACACCTGGGTGCCCCTGACCTGGTGTGAATCCTGGGCTCTGCCCTGTCTAGCTGGGTCTGCCTGGGCATCAGTTTTAATCTCTTGGAGTTTACTCAGTTCTGCACCTGTCCAATGAGGTGATATCACCTGCCTAGAAAAGCTATCAAGAGGAATCATAAAAGATGAGCATGAAAAGGGTCCTTGTTAACTTTGGGGTTCTAATGGATCAGGGTTCATTTCTATATTCCTAGAACTCAGTATAGCCTTTGGCTCAGGACAGATTATGTTCTGTCTGCTGAATGAATTAAACAAAGGAATAAGATTACCAGCAATGAATCATTCATTCACTCTATCAACATTCCCAGGCCTCCCACTGTGGATGGGGCACAGTGCTCAGCACTACATCCAGAGGGAGCCTCAAGAGGTCAGGGCCCTGCCTTCCCCTGCAGAATGGAAACAGGCTAACCAGAGCAGTGCTCGATATAATGACAGACACTGTGAAGGAAAGAAAGGGAGGTAAGGAGATGAGTGACCTGCTAGTCAGCAGGGCCTGGGGAGGGCAGAGCTTCCTTCCAGTGATCAGGAAAGGCCTCCTGAGAAGGCAAGGTCTGAGACCTGCATGACCTGGGGCACAAGCCAGAATAAGATCTGGCTAGGGACCAGCAGTCCAGGCTTGGGGCACAGCACTCACAGAGGCCCCGTCAACTGGCTGGGATGGTGCTGTTCACTGCCTTTCCTGTGCGCCATGCTCCTTTATGTACAAATCTTTCCTCTCTTGTGTTCATTCTGGCTCAATCAACATCTGCACCCCAAGTGTCTGCAACTAGAGTGAGACAGGACCCTCCATGTGCTTCTGTTTGCTCTTCTCATCTACTGTCCTAACAGCTTTTTAAGCTGAGTTCATGTGGATTTGTGGCTTCAAATTTAAAGACACATACAGGGCCGGGCGTGGTGGCTCACACCTGTAATCCCAGCACTTTGGGAGGCCAAGGCGGGTGGATCATGAGGTCAGGAGTTCAAGACCAGACTGGCCAATGTGGTGAAACCCCGTCTCCACTAAAAATATAAAAAATTGGCCGGGCGCGGTGGCTCAAGCCTGTAATTCCAGCCCTTTGGGAGGCCGAGACGGGTGGATCACGAGGTCAGGAGATCGAGACCATCCTGGTTAATACGGTGAAACCCCGTCTCTACTAAAAAGTACAAAAAACTAGCCGAGCGAGGTGGCGGGCGCCTGTAGTCCCAGCTACTTGGGAGGCTGAGGCAGGAGAATGGCGTGAACCCGGGAGGCGGAGCTTGCAGTGAGCTGAGATCCGGCCACTGCACTCCAGCCTGGGCGACAGAGCGAGACTCCGTCTCAAAAAAAAAAAAAAAAAAAAAAAAAAAAAAAAAAAAAAAAATATAAAAAATTAGCCAGGCATGCTGGCGTGTGCCTGTAGTTCCAGTTACTGCGGAGGCTGAGGTAGGAGAATCACCTGAACTTGGGAGGTGGAAGTTGCAGTGAGCTGATATCATGCCACTGCACTCCAACCTGGGCGACAGAGCAAGACTCCACCCCACCAAAAAAAAAAAAGACACCAACAGTGATACCATATGTCAATAATTTAGACATAGCCAAAGTTCCACTGATTTCTTATTTCCCTGTTGTGTCCTGTATCCCTCCTTCCCCTTTATTGAATTAATTTTCTACTTTATTAGAATAAGTCCTCAAGCAATATTTTTCTAATAAAAATAAGCTTTATTTTTGCATATAAAGATGTAAACAATTTTAGTTATTGCTATGGACTAGATGTTTGGATTCCCCCAAAACCCCTATGTTGAAGGCCTAATCCCCAATGTGATGCTACTGGGAGGCATGGCCTTCGGGAGGTGATCAGGTCATGAGGGTGGAGCCCCATGACGGGCTTAGTGCCCAAGACTACAGCTCTTTCTCTCCACCATGTGAGAACACAGACAGAAAGGGCCCTTACCGGGACTGAACTGGCCAATACCATGATCTTGGACTTCCTAGTATCCAGACAGTGAGAAATAGAGGTATGTTGTCTAAGTCACTCCATCTGTAGTATTTGTTATAGCAGCTGAAACTGACTAGGAGAGTCACTTTAACTCAGATTTGTATCATCCTATTTTAAACTCAGACATGAACCCTAGAGCTGGTACAAAAATATTCTGGAATTCCTGTTAAATTCAGTAGACTGTGGCCAGATGTGGTGGCTCACACCTATAATCTCAGCACTTTGGGAGGCTGAGGCAGGCAGATCACGAGGTCAGGAGATCAAGACTGGCTAACACGGTGAGACCCTGTCTCTACTAAAAATACAAAAAATTAGCCAGGCTGGTGGCAGGCGCCTGTAGTCCCAGCTACTCGGGAGGCTGAGGCAGGAGAATGGTGTGAACCCGGGAGGCAGAGCTTACAGTAAGCCGAGATCACACCACTGCACTCCAGCCTAGGATACAGTGAGAGTCCGTCTCAAAAATTTAAAAAAAAAAAAAAAAACAGTAGACTGTTTTTCTTCTATATTTCTATGACTTAAGCATTTGCATGACTATTAATGTTTTAATGTCTATTAAATTTTTTAAAATAAATTAAATGTACTGACCAGGCACGGTGGCTCATGCCTGTAATCTCAACACTTTGGGAGGCTGAGGTGGGCGGATCACCTGAAGTCAGGAGTTCAAGACCAGCTTGGTTAACATGGTGAAACTCCATCTCTACTAAAAATACAAAACAATGGCGGGGCGTGGTGGCTCACACCTGTAATCCCAGCACTTTGGGAGGCTGAGGCAGGTGGATCACCTGAGGTCAGGAGTTCGAGACCAGCCTGGCCAACATGGTGAAACCCCATCTCTACAAAAAATACAAAATTAGCGGGGCATAGTGGCACACACCTGTAATCCCAACTACTCAGGAGGCTGAGGCAGAATTGCTTGAACCTGGGAGGCGGAGGTTGCAGTGAGCCAAGATCACACCATTGCACTCTAGCCTGGGCAGAAAAGAGTGAGACTCCATCTCAAAAAAAAACCCCCAAAACAAAAAAGTTAGCTGGGCGTGGTGGTGGGTGCCTATAATCCCAGCTATTTGGGAGGCTGAGGCAGGAGAATGGCTTGAACCCAGGAGGCAGAGGTTGCAGTGAGCCGAGATCATGCCATTGTACTCCAGCCTGGGTGACAGAGCTAGACTCCTCTCAAAAAAAAAAAAAAAAAAAAATTAAACGTACTTTAAAATATTAGCAGCCACGAAAATGCCCAGGGAAAAATCACATTATTTAAAGCAAATTTTTTTAGAGACAGGGTCTCACTCTGTTGCCCAGGCTACAGTACAGGGGCATGATCATAGTTCACTGAAGTCTAAAACTCCTGAGCTCAAGTGATCCTCCTGCCTCAGCCTTCCAAGTAGCCAGGACTGCAAGCACGCGCCATCAGGCCCAGCTAATTTTTTTTTTTTTTCGGTAGAGACAGGGTCTCGCTTTGTTGCCCAGGCTGATCTTGAATTCCTGGGCTCAAGAGATCCTGCTGCCTCAACCTCTCAAAGTGCTGGGATTATTGACATGATCTGCACATAGCCTAAACTATTATTTTAAGTAGGGTCAGGGCACATAGCAGCATGTAACCAGCTACTACTAGGTATACTATGCAGTTGGTGTTCAGTAATCCACAGGGCTATGGCTATGGGAAAGGTACAAAGAATAATGTAGATAATATAGATACAAAGAAAGAAGGAATGAAAGAAAAAAAGTAGTATCTTGGAGACAAACACCATTTGCTCCAAGAGAGGTAAGGTTTTAAAATATGCGGTTTCTGTATCAATGCTTTAAGATATAACCTGGTAAGTAACTCATCAAAATGCAAAGCCTAATTTACTGTAAAATCTTGTTTCCTTATATTCTAAAAGCCTATAGCTTTTAGAATTCACCAGTTCTAAGGCTGATGAAATGAGAAAGCAGAGAAAGATCCAAACTCTTAGAATATTCAAATTAAGGATTCATGTGGAAGTTTTGAGTTCACTGGAAGGTTAATGAAGCCTTCATTCTGGAGAAATGATACACCCCTGGGTTAACCAGTAGGGCTGTGGCCCTTCCCGCCACTTCCACTCTGTGGGTACCTACTCTCTCAAGGCAGGTCTTGCCGACCCCACTTGCCATTGTGATCCTACTCTCAGACAGGGGTTTGGGATTGGTTATTGGTTACAGGGGCTAATATTAGCATTACTCAGAGTTCAGCTTTGGTCTCACAAACACCCCTTCACAAGGGGAAATTCATACTCCCACTGTAAGTGAAAGTGAGATCAATGGCCCATAGCAGGTGGACAGAGGACAGGGGCAGGCAGAATCCCTAGCTGTCACCCCCCAAGGACAGTTCTGTGGAAACATCCAGCATCCCTGCTGGGCACACAGCTGTCTCTACCTTCTGCTAAGGGTCAGAGGCCAAAACACTCTGGAGAGATTGGCTTTGCAGGTCTGTAGGTTACTCTCAGCAGGGTGGTCTGGCCTTGGCCCCCCAACTGGGAAACCGAGTCCCCTAAAAAAGAAGGTTTAAGGTTTGGCCAGAGGGAAGTCTGAACCTGGTGTGGCCACACCCACTGGGGGGACAACTTTTGTTTAGGGAGGAAATAAAGGTAGCTGTTTCCTTTTTTCTGAAACCTGCCCTTCCTCATACTTAACCACAATGTGTTATTGCCAACCTCTGAGTCTCATCAGCTTAACAAAGGAGATCACTTCCTGGGGCCAGGAGTAGAGAGGTGGCCTAGAAATGGTCTTCTCCTCCTTGGCCAGGATCACTATGCTTGATTCCAAGTGGCATGGCCAGGCCAGGCCCTACCCCACCCTGATCCCAGAAAACAGAAACATGAACATGAACTCAGTCAGCATCTAGCTTATGGCTGCTGGAAATAGTTAGCAATCTCTCTCTCTCCAGCACAGCTCCGTCTTTCAGCATGAAGGGTGGGGAGATTTCTCACATGCACCAAGGTAAGGTGGAGGGATCCCTGGAAATCTAATGGTAGTTGAGGCTGGTGGGCTTGACCCACTGTCCCTTGCTCTGCTCAGAAATGCATTTGTGAGATCACAGCCTAAGTGACTGATAGAGCCAGGTACATCCTACGGACCACAGCAGTCCACAAAACCCTCTCTTGGGAAAACTGCCTCCTCCCAGGGGAAATTGTGCTAAGTGTGTGGCTGACTGCAGGGCACAGCGAAAATGCAGCATGAGGCTCAGTGATGCTTGTTGGCCTTTACCACTCCCCTGGGCTGAAGACTGCATGCTGCTCAGGCACAGAAGCAGGAAGTCTGTTCCACCATTAGCGAGCAGGTAAGAAAGAAGAAAGAGCAAGGCAGACTGGCGAAGGGAAACTGAAACAATATGCATCAAAGCTGAGAGAGAGCACGACGGAGGGCGAGGCTGCCCAGCTGCCACTGCTCCTAGGTCCTCTCCATCACAGTCCGACTGCCTTTCCTGCTGTGGGCTCCCCTCCCGTCTCCTCCTGCACAATACACTCACAACCTAGCCCACCCCAAAGAGGCTGAGCAGGGGTCCAGGGTAAATGGGTTTCTGAGGAGTAGAGGACATGCAGGAAAGAAGGCAATCCGGATGTCCCCTTCCCTTATCTCACTGCTGTCCACCTTCTCTGAATTCACCCAGACTTTATTCCACAATGACAAGTGAAGCTCATGTGAAAGGCTGGGGGAACCTGAGCAACTCTCTCAGCCCATGACTTCCACACCCTCACATCACCTGAAGACAAAGGGACCAGCTAGCACCCTGTCCTACCTCCAGCATCGGGACTCTGCTCGAAATCCTTGGACATTGTTGTCCCCTCCAATCAAGTATACGAAGTTGTTGAGCACCGCGATGCCCTGGTTGGACATGCGGGGTGCCAAGGAGGCAGTGAAGTGCTTCCACTCTCCCAGTAAAGGGTTTAGATACTTGGCCTGGTCGCTGAGGACAGTGGACGGCGTGGAGTGAATGCCCCCGAAGCCCACAACGCACTGGAAGTCCGACCGCAGCTCCGTTTGCGGGCTCTGCAGGCTGGGCTGTAGGCTCTCGTTCCGGTGGTACATGAGGGCACTGGCCACTGTGTCCCTCAATGGGCTGGGGTCCAGCTTGTCATGCAGCCGCTGCAGGACCTCAGCTTCCATCAGCGGAAACCGCACTGTCTCAAGGAGCTTTGGGGGCTCGTGCAGCGAGATCTGGTCAGCCTGCACCTGCTCCAGGCTGTAATGGTAGAGAAGGGCTCCCTCGTATACCTCGGTCTCGCAGGAGACCTCCAGGCGATTGCTGCTGAGGAGGGAGTAGACCTTCTCCAGTGGAAGCTGGCGGTACTTGTCAGTCCGAGAGAAGGCCACAAAGTTTTTGAGGATGTAGGTGTCCAGTTGCTCAGTCAGGCGGCTCAAATCAAACAGCTCTGCCAGCCGGTAGACATCAAGAATGTTCTCTTCGTCCACCCAGGACATGAGGAAATCACAGCAGAAATGGATAATTTCTGGGATCTGCAGAGAGAATGACACCCATTGAAGCCTGGGCTAGCGAACAGCATCTGGGGGTGGGAGACAGAATGATGGCAGAAATACAGGCCCTTGTGGGCCAGGCAAAGTGGAAAGGAAGTCCTCCTTAATTGTCCCTGACCTTTTCTGACACACTGGAGACTGGGGCTTACTGCAGACTGGGTTTAAGTCCTGGTTTGGAAACGTACCAGGTGACAGGATATACAGCATGTTTTGTTGTTTTGTTTTGTTTTGTTTTGAGACGAAGTTTCACTCTTGTTGCCCAGAATGGAGTGCAGTGGCGCAATCTCGGCTCACTACCACCTCTGCCTCCCAGGTTCGAATGATTCTCCTGCCTCAGTTTCCCATACAGAATGTTTTTAACCTCTCTAAGCCTCAATCTCCTCATCTATAAAACAGGGATCATTAAAGTGAGGAAGAGTATGATGAAAATAAGAGAGCACATAGGAGTGGACCCTTGATATACGTCAGCTCCCTCTTAGATCAAAAGTACTGGCTCAGCCAGGCATGGTGGCTTACGCCTGTAATCCCAGCACTTTGGGAGGCCGAGGCGGGTGGATCACGAGGTCAGGAGATCGAGACCAGCCCGACCAACATGGTGAAACCCCGTTTCTACTAAAAATACAAAAATTGGCTGGGCGTGGTGGTGCGCGCCTATAATCCCAGCTACTCAGGAGGCTGAGGCAGAAGAATCGCTTGAACCCAGGAGGCAGAGGCTGCAGTGAGCCAAGATCGCGCCATTGCACTCCAACCTGGGTGACAGAGTGCGACTCCACCTTAAAAAAAAAAAAAAGTACTGGCTCTCCAGAAAAGCAGGAAGCAGCACAAACGGTTACTGCGTCATGTATCTGTGGTTTGGAAAGGACCTAAGACCACCCCCATCCTTACCCTAGGATTCTCTAGAAGAGCCTGCCTCTCCAAAAGTGCTGGGAGCAAAAGCAAACCCGGCCTTTTCCCCCTGCCAGAACATCCACCCTGGTTCCCTAGGAGTGCTCAGAGCCTCTCAGACACCTAACCAGCACCAACCCAGAAACCTGACTTAGAATTCTTTTTCTTTTTAAAATTTGAGACAGGGTCTTGCTCTGTCACCCAGGCTGGAGTGCCATGGCAAGATCACAGCTCACTGAAGTCTCAAGCTTCTGGGCTCAAGTGATCCCTGACTCAGGGTTCTTGAGGTCCCCAGCTGGGTCAAGACCCACTTGACTCCAGTAAGTGAAGGGGCTCCCAGGTGGCCACATCAACCCTTCCCAACCGTGGGGAAGCACTAGTGGTTTGAAAGGACGGCGAGAAAGAATGGCACTGGAGGGAGATGGGAATGAGGCCACAACTAGCAGGCTGTTAAAGGCCACCCTGTGAACAACCAAATCTTGGAAAATAGAAGACAAAGGTAAGGGCCCTAGGGAAAACTGCCTGGGAGAACAAACCAGGTGTTGATAAATTCTTTAGGAAAGCAGGATTTTAGAGGTTCAGTGGGGCCCCCCAGTGCCTACCTCCTTTCTTTCCGAGTTCAGATTGAAAAATGACAGAGTATCTTGACCTCTCTGTGACCCAGTCAACTGCAGGTTTTCCCAGCAGGCTTGAACCCAAACTGGGCCCTTAAACATTCCCAGGCACTGATAAAGGCATCAAGGTTGTTACCCAAAACACTGAAAGAAAAACTGGTTCTGGCCCTGAGACAAATTCCTTAAACCCTAATTGAAACTCCATACCCTAACCCACTCCATGGGCAAGCCTGGGTAAAGCCTCTCTTTTCCCTTATCTGTCTTGAGGATATGCTGCACCACTCTATACATAAGTTCCCTCTAATAAACGCTCTGGCCAGATCACCCTAGTGTTTGATGCTTCTTTCTTCGGAATCCCAAACCAGCTCCATTTCAGGATGCTGTGGGGTCCCCTCTTGTGGGAACCCCCCTGCTACCAACTCCAGTCATGGGTTCAGTGCAATAAATCAGTTTCTCTAAAAATGGAAATACCTGGCTTATCCAGGATCATCAATAAATTAACCATTACACATGGAATAATTCTGCTGGTATTTATTTATTTATTTATTTTTAAATTTTTATTTATTTATTTATTTTTGTTGAGACGGAGTCTCGCTCTGTTGCCCAGGCTGGAGTGCAGTGGCGCGATCTCGGCTCACTGCAAGCTCCGCCTTCCGGGTTTACACCATTCTCCCGCCTCAGCCTCCCAAGTAGCTGGGACAACAGATGCCCGCCACCACGCCCGGCTAATTTTTTGTATTTTTAGTAGAGACTGGGTTTCACCATGTTAGCCAGGATGGTCTTGATCTCCTGACCTCATGATCCGCCCGCCTCGGCCTCCCAAAGTTGTGGGATTACAGGCGTGAGCCACAGCGTCCGGCCAAGGTATTTAAAGTTTATCAATAAATACTAACAATAACTTTTTTAAAATTCAAAAGACATCTAATATTGCTTGCAAGGTGACATGCTAAGGGCTGGATGGGACCTACCAAATGTCAGGCAGGTATCCCCGTGGTACTTCGCTTGGCCCTGACCATCTTCTGTGCCTACACAAGGTATCCCATGGTGCTTTGTTCGGCCCTGATCATCTTCACTTGACCTTCTGTTTTCCCCCTTTACCAGTACTTCTGCTTTGCCACTTCTTTCCAAACGACTAGGTTTTCCTAAAATTCTGGTTTGTCATGGGCCAGGGTCCTGAAGACCAAGTTTTGGGCAGAATGTGAGCACAAACAGCTCTGAAGAAGCCTGGGCAGCAGCAGCTCCTTGAGAGGACCCCGCTGATACTCCTTTCAGTCCTATTTTTAGAGCAGTGGGCCTTCTGCTCAGTGAAATCTCACAGAGGAACCAGCCTGGGCTCAGGATGTGCAAAAGCCCCATAAGAGGCTCACAGAAGGGACTGCATGTGCTTGGGGCAACCCAATAGGACAGTGTTACTGGGAATCAGACTCAGGCCTCTGGGGACACCGTGAAGAGTCTGGTCCCAGGCCTAGTGCAGGGCACAACACATGGGGAAAGCTCCCAATAGTCACTAGCTATGTGAACACACACAATCCTACAGGCCTATGGACTTGACATGGTCATGCCAAGTAAAACCTGCTATAAAACAATATTGCAAAGAAGCCGGAATTTTTTTTTTTTTTTTTTTTGAGATAAGCTGGCATGTAGTAGTGTGATCACAGCTTACTGCAGTCTCCACCTCCTGGGCTCGAGTGATCCTCCCACCTCAGCCTCCCAAATAGCTGGAACTACAGATGCATACCACTATGCCCGGCTATTTTTAAAAAGCTTCTGTAGAGATGGGGTCTCGCTTTGTTGACCAGGCTGATCTCAAACTCCTGGCCTCAAGCGATCCTCTCACCTTGGCCTCCAAAGGTGCTGGGATTACAGGCATGAACCTCCAAGCCTGGCCCAGAAGCCTGATATGTTAAAAAACAAAGCTAGGCTGCTGCCCCTGAGATGGCCTCTGAGGCACTAGGGGAGATGACCCAGGGCTGTCGGGAGCACTGGCCAAACCGACAGAGAGAGACTGTAGGCCTCCAAGCTGACTGGTGAGAGTGAAAGTGGTGTTAGGAAGATGATCTGGTTTCAGTGTGTGTGATTGCTGCAGGGAGAAGAAGGAAATGGCAGAAATATAGAGATGGAGGCCAGGCAAAGGGGTAGGAAATGGAAACACAGAACAGAGATGGTTACAAGCAATACTGAGAAGGACGACCTGTGCTCACTTGGACATAGGGAATTAAGAAGGTGGACAGGCTCAAGGAGTCACTGAGATTGAGCCCAGGGAACTGGCAGGATGGTCACAGGACACACAGAGCAGGGGACTGGCAGGGGAGCTCCAGGAGAGTGGCAGGTGTGAAGGAGGAGATAGGACGGCTGGAGCTGAGCCATGCTGGGGGAAATGTTTCAAAGGCAGCTGAATCAGGAATTAACTGCTGCCAGGGTGGAGAACTGGACGAGTGTTCCCAAAGCGAAAATGACAGGGATGTGGGGACAGAAGAGATCTCTAAACAAAAGAAGAGGGGGAAATTCTTTTGTTGTAAAACCCAACTCCATCTACTCACCATGCAGGTATGGTGAGACAAGTCAGTCATCTCCGATCAACCCACCCAGCATCCAGGTCCTAACAATCTGAGAATAGGGCACAGGGAGGCCGCCAGGGCCTTGTCACATGGGGTGGCACCTCCATATGCCCCCGAACAGGTTGGTTTTCCTAGGACTTGAGTGTTTTTTTAATTGCGCCAAACCTGCCCTCATGGGAAGAAAGGTCAGAATGATGAACTTAGCATAGCACTTTGTTTCACTTTTAAGAAATGTGGGAAGAGGTGACTCTCAACTCATATCAGGCCTCTGATTGATAGTTCAAAGGCACCTGCAGGCCCAGTCCTGTGTAACTGCACCCACACCACTGAGAATAATCCTCCAAAGCATAAGTCACACTGTCAAAGCCTCAGAAAACTTTTTGAATTCTGTAAGTATTCAGAATTAAGTACTTGAAAACAAGTACTTAAACTTCAATAACAGGTTGGGCACAGAGGCTCACACCTGTAATCCCAGAACTTTGGGAATCCAAGGTGGGAGTATCACCTGAGGCCAAGAGTTTGAGACCAGCCTGGGCAACATAACAAGGCCCCATCCCTGGCTGGGCGCAGTGGCTCACATCTGTAATCCCAGCACTTTGGGAGGCCAAGGCAGATGGATCACCTGAGGTCGGGAGTTGGAGACCAGCCTGACCAACATGGAGAAACCCCATCTCTACTAAAAATATAAATAAAACTAGCCGGGCATGGTGGCACATGCCTGTAATCCCAGCTACTCAGGAGGCTGAGGCAGAAGTGCTTGAACCCAGGAGGCAGAGGTTGCAGTGAGCCGAGATCGTGCCACTGCATGCCAGCCTGGGTGACAGAGCAAGACTCTGTCTCAAAAAAACAAAAAACAAAACAAAACAAAAAAAAAACAAGGCCCCATCCCATCCGTATAAAAATATATATACATATATGTATCAGCTAGGCACAGTGGCATGCATCTTTAGTCCCAGCTACTCAGAAGGCTGAGGCAAGAGGACCACTTGAGCCTAGGGGGTGGAGGTTACAGTGAACTATGATCATGCCATTGCATTACAGTCTGGGTAACAGAGTGAGATCCTGTCTTTTAAAAAAAATAAACAGGCCAAGCACATTGGCTCACACCTGTAGTCCCAACACTTTGGAAGGCTGAGGTGGATCACTTGAGGCCAGGGGTTCAAGACTAGCCTAAGCAACAAAGCAAGCCCCTATCTCTATAAAAAAAAATTTAAAAATTAGCCAGGTGTGGTGGCACATGCCTGTAGGTCCCAACTACTTAGGAGGCTGAGGCAGAAGGATTGCTGGAGTCCAGGAGGTTGAGGCTGCAGTGAGCTGTGATTGTGCCACTGCACTCTAGCCTGGGCAAGAGAGAGAGAGCTTGTCTCCAATAAATTGAATGAGCGGATGGATGGATGCATGCATGCATGGATGGATGGATGGAGAAATAAATAGATAAAGTTCAATAACAAAAAGCATATGTTTTCAAGAGACTGAAGTGGTCCAGTGCGGGGACAGGCAGGAAGGGCCCTGGCAGCAATGCTGATGGACGCTCCGCATTGCCAGACTCCAAAGCACACAGGACGTCCGCATGCAGCCTCGGGTCAGCCTACCTGCTTATGTTCAGGATGCTTTCAATGACAGGGAGACTCAGACAGTGGGGAAACAACCAGCAATAGTGAAGAGGGCAAAGGCAGAGGGCCTGGGGTGTCTGAAGCAGCTCTGTTTTAGCTCTAGGGCACAACTCCAGAGTCCTCCCCACTTCATGGCCTTCTTCACTGCTTGGTCTCCTCACACTCCTGACCCATCTTCAAGCCAATGCTAGTGCCTGGCAGGCATCATGGGCATCTCAGGGAACCCCACCTGGGTGTGGGTCTGCCCTGCTAGACGAGACATGCCTCACCTGAAGCTGGCAGGCAGCCACCAGTGTCTCTTGCACATTGCTCAGGCTGAGCTCCAGCTCGGAGGTGTATATGAAATGTAGGATTTGGCACATAGCATTGTAGGACACGCCGTGGATCAGGACCTCTTCCTGTTCCATCTCTTTCAATCCCCCAGCAAACATTCCTCTGAAAAGTGAAGACACAAGAAAATTGAGTTATACCAACAAGGACTCAAGCCCAGGTTGTCAAGAGTGACAGTATTCAGAGAAGAACCTGGTGCTGGTGGCGGGGCCCGGGGAGTGGGCTGACCCACTCTGTGCTCTGAGTGAACTGTGTGCACGCATGAGCCATCCCACAAAAGGATCCTGACCAAGTCTGGGCAGCCATCCTGGAAATTGTCCTGTTTCCCTTTTCATGGGCCCAAGGAGTCCCGTATGAGCCTCGGGAGGGGAGGCCACGCACAGCTTGCTTCTGCTGTGTTCATCAGTGCAGTTCCTGGATCGGAGCAGTAGCAACTCCAGAGCACATTTCAAAGCAATGAATTAATGGGAAACTAATACAAGTCGTTTCATTCAATGTATATTTATGAAGTTCCTACCAAATGCCAAGTATCATTCAAAGAGCAGAAGGAGGCCAGGCACGGTGACTCACATCTGTAATCCCAGAACTTTGGGAGGCCGAGGCAGTCGGATTATTTCAGGTCAGGAGTTCAAAACCAGCCTGGCCCATAAGGTGAAATTGCATCTCTACTAAAAATACAAAAATTAGCTGGGCGTGATGGTGTCTCCTCTGAGTTCCTCAGATGGAGGCTGAGGCAGGAGAATCGCTTGAACCCAGGAGGCGGAGGTTGCAGTGAGCTGAGATCGCACCATTGCACTCCAGCCTGGGCAACAAGAGTGAAACTCTGTCTCTCAAAAAAAAAAAAAAAAAAAATACAGCATAGGTTGTGGTGAAAGTCCCCTTGCCTCTGCTCCCAGATATCAGTGAGTTCCCCTCCCAGGGCCGCAGTATTCCCAGGGCAGTCATATTCCACATCTCACTTGGCTTTTTTTTTTTTGAGACGGAGTCTCGCTCTCTCACCCAGGCTGGAGTGCAGTGGTGCGATCTTGGCTCACTGCAAGCTCCACCTCCCGGGTTCGCGCCATTCTCCTGCCTCAGCCTCCTGAGTAGCTGGGACTACAGGCGCCCACCTCCATGCCTGACTAATTTTTTGTTTTTAGTAGAGACGCGGTTTCACCGTGTTAGCCAGGATGGTATCGATCTCCTGACCTTGTGATCTGACCCCCTTGGCCTCTCAAAGTGCTGGGATTACAGGTGTGAGCCACAGTGCCAGGACTTTTTTTGGGGGGGCGCGGGTGGGAGGGAGATGAAGCCTCGCTCTGTCGTCCAGGGTGGAGTGCAGCGGCATGATCTCGGCTCAGTGCAACCTCCATCTCCTGGGTTCAAGTGATTCTCCTGCCTCGGCCTCCCAAGTAGCTGGGATTACAGGTTCATGCTACCACGCCCGGTTAATTTTTTGTATTTTTAGTAGAGACAGGGTTTCACCGTGTTAGCCAGGATGGTCTTGATCTCCTGACCTCATGATCTGCCTGCCTCGGCCTAACAAAGTGCTGGGATTACAGGCCTGAGCCACTGCATCCGGCCCGGTTTTTACAATAAAGCTTGGAGACCGATCCATGCCCATGTACACAGGACTGCTTCACTCTTTGCAAAGACTGTTTCACTTTTTTTTTTTTTTTTTTGAGACGGAGTCTCGCTCTGTCGCCCAGGCTGGAGTGCAGTGGCCGATCTCGGCTCACTGCAAGCTCCGCCTCCTGGGTTCACGCCATTCTCCCGCGTCAGCCTCCGAGTAGCTGGGACTACAGGCGCCCGCCACCATGCCCGGCTAGTTTTTTGTATTTTTAGTAGAGACAGGGTTTCACAATATTAGCCAGGATGGTCTCGATCTCCTGACCTCGTGATCCACCCGCCTCAGCCTCCCAAAGTGCTGGGATTACAGGCTTGAGCCACCGCGCCCGGCCTATTTTTTTTTTTAAGATGCAATTTCGCTCTTGTCACCCAGGCTGGAGTATAATGGCGCAATCTCGGCTCACCGCAACCTCCGCCTCCCAGGTTCAAGTGATTCTCCTGCCACAGCCTCCCGGGTGTAGATAATTATTGTCGTGTGCCACTATGCCCGGCTAATTTTTGTATTTTTAGTAGAGACAGGGTTTCACCACGTTGGCCAGGCTGGACTCAAACTCCTGACCTCAGGTGATGCACCCGCCTCAGCCTCCCAAAGTGCTGGGATTACAGGCATGAGCCACCATGCCCAGCCAGCTATCTCACTTCTTTAACCTATTCCTACAGGGGTACATTTAGGTTACTTATAATTTCCAGTTAGTTCACGTGATAAATAGCCTCACTCTTACAACATGCTGAGTATGCATATGCCAGGATTAAGTCCCACAAATACATTTGCTGGGTTGAAGGGTTTACATACATTTATACTTTGATAGTATTGTCAAGTCACTCTTTTTACATCATTCCTAATAGCAGGGACTGGTGCCTGCACCCTCTACCCCCAACCCAGGAAGACACCAGCTCTAACTCACTACCACGAGAGGGAAAACCTCATCACAAAAGGTACAGAAAATGTCCTCACATGTTAAAGAGCCATTTCCATTTTCTTTTCTGAACAGTTCAGATTCTTAGTCAGTTTTCTATTAGATTCTATCTTATCAATTTGAAGAAATCTGCCCCTTTTTTGATGAGGAGTTTCCCCTATCTTTTGATTCTGTATTGCTTTTTTGCCATGCAGAAATTTGTCTTTTTTTTTTTTTCCTTAAGTCTAGTTAAGTGCAGTGAAAGAAGTAGAAGGTGAAACAGTAGAACCTGGAGTTGGATCTGTGACTGTGAACAACCAACTGAGGTAACTCACTACCTTCGGACCAGCCTATCTTCGTTTTCAATGTGATCAAATTTATCATTTACTTGCCTCCGAGTTTTGTGTCAAACTCAGGAAGGCTTTTTCCTTCTGAGATTATTTAGAAAACATTTCCCATATTTTCCTCTAGTGTTTTTACTGTTGAATCTTTCACATTTCTTTCACATTTAAAACTGTTGATCTACTTGGAATTTATTTTGGTATAAGGTATGAAGCAAGGGTCCAACTTTGTTTTTCTAGATGGCAACTCTGAACTCTTCCCTCCTTTCTCTAATTTTTTTTTTTTTTTTTTTTGAGACAAAGTTTCACTCTGTCGCCCAAGCTGGAGTGCAGTGGTGAGATCTTGGCTCACCGCAACCTCCACCTCCCAAGTTTAGGAGATTCTCCTGCCTCAGCCTCCCCAGTAGCTAGGATTACAGGCATGTGCCACCACAGCCGGCTAATTTTGTATTTTTAGTAGAGACGGGGTTATCACTATGGTGGCCAGGCTGATCTTGAACTCCTCACCTTGTGATCCGTCCGCCTCAGCCTCCCAAAGTGCTGGGATTACAGGCGTGAGTCACCGCACCTGGCCCCTTCCTCTAATTTTTGAGGCTATCTTTATCACATAGGATAGGAATGGTCTCCTTTCGTTATTTTTGTTTTCAACAATTTCCTGGTCACTGCTTCCTTTTTACATTTGAATTTTAGAATCAAGTTTCTGTAATTGCCCCAAATAAACCCTCTTGGTATTTTGGTGGGTTATGTTAAACATCTAGGTTAATGTAGAGATAAACGGCATTTTTATAATGGACACAGTGGACCTTTTTAACTGTCCAGCCATCCTCTGGGTCTATTTGGAGGTCTTACAAGTCATCTTCCTACAGACCTGGCACATACTTGTTACATTTATTCCCAGACATTTCACTCCATGCATGGCCAAGCCCTCGGGGCACTTTCCCATGCTCTTTGTAGTGATCTGGTTGGCTCTCCTGGACTTCCAGGACTGTGCTAATACATGCACTTCTCCTGTCTGATTCTTCTGCTGGCACCTCTGGGACTATATTGGCAGCAGTGAAGATTGCAACATTTCAAGACTGCCTGCCCTGAGCAGGGTGTGGGTGCTTTGATTGACACAGATTTTTTTTTTTTTTTTTTTTTTTTTTTTTTTGAGACAGAGTCTCGCTCTTGTTGCCCAGGCTGGAGTGCAATGGCACAATCTCGGCTCACTACAACCTCCGCCTACCGGGTTCAAGCGATTCTCCTGCCTCAGCCTCCAAGTAGCTGGAATTACAGGCATGTGCCATCACGCCTGGCTATTTTGTATTTTTAGTAGAGACAGGGTTTCACCATGTTGGTCAGGCTGATCTCGAACTCCTGACCTCATGTGATCCACCCGCCTCAGCCTCCCATAGTGCTGGAATTACAGATGTGAGCCACCATGCCTGGCCTGACACAAATGTGTGTCATTTTAAGAAAAAAAAAATCTTATAATCCTTTGGGGGCCAAGGCAGGAAGACTGCTTGAGGCCAGGACTTTAAGACCAGACTGGGCAGCCGGGTGCGATAGTTCACACCTGTAATGCCAGCACTTTGGGAGCCCGAAGCAGGTAGATCACTTGAGGCCAAGAGTTCGAGGCCAGCCTGGTCAACATGGTGAAACCTCGCCTCTACTAAAAACACAAAAATTAGCTGCATGGTGGTGCACACCTATAATCTCAGCTACTCGGGTGGCTGAGGCACGAAAATCACTTGAACCTGGGAGGCGGAGGTTGCAGTGAACCGAAATCGCACCACTACTCTTCAGCCTTGGCAACAGAGCAACATTCTGCCTTAAAAGAAAAAGAAAAAGAAGAAAAAAAAAAAGACCAGATGGGGCAACACAGAAAGACCCCATCTCTTAAAAAAAAATTAGCTGGGCATGGTGGCACGCATCCGTAATCCCATCAATTATAAATGCTGATGTGGGAGCATTGCTTGAGCCCAGTATTTTGAGGCTGCAGTGAGCTATCATGACACCATTGCTCAGCCTGGGCAACAAAATGAGACTCTGTCTCCTAAAAAAAAAAAAAAGTTCACTGCATGGATCATGAATGGAGGGAGGAGAAAGAAGATATAAGACATTTGGGGTACAATCAGGAAAATTTGAACATGGACTCAGTATCAGATGAAATTATAGAATGATTACACATTTCTTTTTCATTTTTATTTTTTTAGAGACAGGGTTGCTACGTTGCTCAAGCTGGACTTAAACTCCTGTGCTCAAGTGATCCTCCCACCTT